TTCTTTCTTTCTTTCTTTCTTTCTTTCTTTCTTTCTTTCTTTCTTTCTTTCTTTCTTTCTTTCTTTCTTCTTTCTCTCTCTCTCTCTCTCTTCCTTCCTTCCTTCCTTTCTATCTTTCTTTCTTTCAGATTTATTTTTTAAATTGTGTGTGTGTGCTGTGTGTGCATGCATGCGCACACACAAGTGCCTGAAAGGCCAGAAGAAGACATCGGATCCCTTGGAGCTGGAGTTACAGGTGTGCCACCTAATGTGGGTGCTGGGAACTGAACTCAGTTCCTCTGCACAAGGTGTAAATGCTCTTAGCCAGACATGGTAGTGTATGTCCTTAATCCCAGTACTTGGAAGGCAAAGGCAGAGGTAGGTGGATGTCTGTGAATTCTAGGCCATCCTGGTTTACACAGTAAGCTCAGGTCTAAGTACATGGTAGTGGGTGAAGTTAAAGATTTCAGAGTAAGACAAACTAGTAAGACTTGGCAATGAGGATATTTATCAGAGTGCCACTTACAACAATAACTTAATGTACTTGGTTAATCTGAGTTGAGGAACATGTGTTAGGATGTAGCAGGCAATCAAAATTAGAGGTATTTATTCTGTGGACAAGTTTTCACAGTATATTCTTATCTGAAACAATGGGGTTACAAAACACAATGTATCATATGCCATCCCTTCTTTTCTAAAATATGAATATGCATATTATTAGCACATGCCACCCACTTCCCAGATGGAACGCCAATGGGTTTATGTTTTCTTTTGTATCCAAATTCCATTGAGTCCAGATCCCCCACCCCACGGATCCCAGGAAACCCATTTCTCCAGTGCCCATCTGTGATGGTTTGTGCTGTTTGTCACCTTGACAGGATCTAGAATCCCCTTGGAGACAGACCTCTGGGTATATTTGTGAGAGAATTTCTAGAGGCTAGAGAGATGGCTCAGTGGTTAAGAGCACTGGCTGCTCTTCCAGAGGACCCAAGTTCAATTCCTAGCACCCACCTGGCAGCTCCCAACTATCTGTAACTCCAGACAAACGTGCAGGCAAGACACCAATGCACACAAAATAAAACAATAAGATGAGTTTCTATACAGCTTATGGAAGGGCTAAGACTCACTCTAAAAGTTGGTGGCACCATTCCACAGGGTCAGGTGTCAGACTGAACAGAAAGGAAAATACTAGCTGAGTACCAGGATCCATTGCTCTCTGTTTCCTGACTACAGATGGGCTATAGATGGAAGGTAACCAGTTACCTCAGGCTCCCACTGCCAGGATGGACCGCTTACCCTCAAACTGTAAACTGAACACCTTTTCCTCCCTCAAGCTGCTTGGTGTCAGGCATTTGGGGGCAATAATGAGAAAATGTAACGAGTGCTCCATCTGAGGTCATTCTTGGAAGCACTGGTCAATGCTAAACAATTTCCCTTCTTCTAGCAGCCCCTGCTTCGCCAGCAATAAAGCTCAGAGTCCCCATGGGTCACGTCTGGCAATCACAGGAGCAGCTCTGCCAGACCACTGACTCCATAATGGACTTCAATTTACCAGAATCCCAGCTCAGAGCAGGCACAAATATTGGAAAGAATAACCCAGAGTCAAATGTACTTACTGCCTTCCCAACTAAGGGCTTTACAGATTCCTGGGACTCGTGGATTCAAAGCCATCCTCACCCGGCTCTGTGCTTGGAGCCCTGGAAGGTATCTTGAGTCAGGGACCGGTTCCAGATCTCTTCTAGATATCACGAGGACCTTCCTTGGTCCAACTGCTGACCCTCATGCCTACCTGGGATGACTGAGAAAAGGAAGATGTATTTATTTCAGAGAAACATCCCCCAACTCAGAGATAGACCCTACCAAATGAATCAGAGCATAAGGTTTGGGTCTGCCTCTCTGGCTGAGGAGATCTCCAACACAGCCCAGATCTCCAAGACAGTTCCAGCATAATGATGGACAGCAGTCCCACTCAATCTGTGTTCGGAGGAAAACTTCTCCAGTTCATGAAAGGCACCATTAAGGGAATGACCAGCCCATTCCCTATCAGTAACACTGTCACTGCGACAGTCCAGGCAGCTGAGGTCGTATTTGTGATGACTGTCATTTTCTCTCAACACTGCAGGTTTTATATTCGTGTTCCTGAGACTGGAGCTTTCTCGCAAAACAATAGAAATCTGCTCCGAAGGAGAAAAATGCCTCCACCTCCAGAAACTGCATATTGGCAACACATTTTCAGTGTTATTTCTGAAGAAACCAGCTTCGGTGTGAAAAGGAGTGGACCCCACAATGCTAACCTTGTGTGTGTGTTGGGGTGGGGGGGCACATGTACCCTCACACATGGGTATGCACGAACTGTAGCTAATTAAACGTGGTAAGACCATGGGTAACATTTATTTCCATTTGCATTTAGGGTTTCTTTTGCTTGGATTTTTAAGCATAATCCGAAAGCAGAACAGGGACAACACACACACACACACACACACACCCCTTAAGTTTTAATGATTTTTGCTTTATTTCTGTTCTCAAGATAAGCCCAAGTTGGCCTTGAACTCTTCCCTCCCTCCCTGCCTCCCCCTCTTCCTCTCTCCCTCCCCCCCCCTCTCAGATGCTGTGGTTAACTGTGTGGCACCACACCTGGCTTTGTTTTGGTTTTAAGCCCCTCATTTTTTTTTCCTTCATTTTTGCCCCTAAAAAGAAAGTGCTCCCCCTATCTGATTAATTAAAGTTTTCAGCTAATCAGGCTTTTTTGGATGCTTTTACACATTTTATAGACAATCGTCTACAAACCAGCCTGATTCAAAGTGGCAGATGGGGCCTGCCTGACCAGAGGGGAGCCAGTTGAAAGGAAAAACTGAAAAGTAGAAGTGTTTGTTCATGTGATGTGAGCTGGCATCTGAAGGGCTGGTTATTTTAGCTGGGTGTGGTGGTGCACATCTATAATCCCAGCACTTGGGAAGTAGAGGCAGGGGAATCAGGAACTGGTCAAACTCACCTGGACAGCAAGTTTGAGACCAGCCTGGGGTACATGCAACCCTGTCTTTAAAAACAAACAAAACCCAAAACGAACAAACAAAAAATCCCACCACTCATTTTAGCAATATGTTACATTTAAGTGAGATTTATTTCATACTAACTAGAGGTTTTTGTTGTTTTGAATTGGGGGGTGGTCAGCAGGAGGGACAGAGTCACTATGTAGTCTTGGCTGGCCTCCAACTCTCTATATAGACAAGGCTGGCCTTGAACTCACAAAGGTCTGCCTGCTTCTGCCTCCTGAGTGCTGGGATTAAAAGTGTGTGCCACTATGTCCAGTTTAGCATAGAATTTTAAAATCACAGAGATACCTTGATTAACTTGCCTATAGCTCACTTTTTAGACTCAAATCTGATTTTTTTTTTTAAAAAGCAACAATATGAAGTTTACTTTTGAAGCTTTGAAGCAATTGTTTTTCTCTGTGTTTGAGCAGCTTCCCATCTGTCAGGTGACAAATGGGCTGGTACTTTTTAAGACGCCTTTATAATTTCAAATTACCAAAGTAATACATATTCATTGATGAATAAATGATAAATACAGACAAGCTCAAAGAAAAACACTCACCCGGAATCTTACCATGCTGCTCACGTAGAAGTTGCTCATTTGAGATCTGTACCCCCAGCCTGAGGCACACACACACACACACACACACACACACACACACACACACATCACAGGCACTGACCCAGTCACACTCATGAGCATGCAATAACAGCACTGTCCTGGCCACACCTCTTGGCAGTCTGCATATTGTTACTTTACAGTGTGTAGTGAGCATGGATCCTTAGATGATCTTCGATGTTCTTACCGTGATGATAAAAAACACTCTGAGAGAAGCGATTTAATTGAGTTTATTTGGACTTACGGTCCCAGAGGGACAGAGTCTGTCACGGCAGGGAAGAAGTAACAACGGGTGCTGGAAAGCATGGTAGCAGGACGAGGAGTTTGTCTGGTCACATTGTGTCTGCACACAGGAAGCAGAGGGCAGTGAATTCATGCTAAGGCTCAGCTCACTTACTCTATTTTATGCAGTCCAGGTTTCCCTGTTCAGGGAATGTCCTGCCTGCAATTAAGATGGCTCCTCTCATATCAATCAACTTAAAGTAATACCTCACAGGCATGCCCAGAGGCCAATCTTCCAGATGATTTTAGAGTCTGTCAAATTGACAGTTAACATTGGTCATCACACTACTAGTATTTTTGAGACAGGGTCTTGTTGTGGAGCCCCTAGCAAGCTGGCCTTGAAATCTGGATCTTCCCGACTCAGCCTCTGGAGCGCTGAGATTATAGGCATTTACCACCACATCTGGCTTCTGTTTGATGCATTCACTGGGAACATGGTTCTCTATGACATCGCCGGCCATTTACGTGGGTTCTCATTCTTTGCGGTCACAGTCAAGGCTCCTGTCTACCCATTGCTGTGCACTCCCTAAAATCATTTCCTTGACCGGGATTGCTAAAGCAAAGGACGCGCGTGTGTGCTTTCTTTTCTCTTTTCCCCGCTCTCAAACTGCTCAGCTGCCTGCCCTGCAGATCCCAGGCAGCCCCGCTCATTGCCTGCTTCATGTCTGCCCCGGCTGGCCAGAGGCCTCTGCCATCACCACAGCCCTGCCTTCTCTTCTCCCCGCTCCCCCAACTCCTTTTAACTCTCAACAGTTTCATACACTGTGATCACATTCACCACCACCACCACTACCACCACCCATTACTTTCTTTTCCTCTTCCCGGTCCTGTTGACCCTACTCTTTTCCCCAGCTAGTCTCCCTCCTATTCACCCCTACTCTCTCTCTCTCTGTGTGTGTGTGTGTGTGTGTGTGTGTGTGTGTGTGTGTGTGTGCACGCGCACTTAGATCTTTCACAGGTCATATCCAGATGACCGTGCTATACGGCACACATCCCCACCCTCCAGCTCTTACATTCTTTCTGCTCCTTCTGCAGTGCTCTTGGGTCTAGGAGGGAAGAGCTATAGATGTCCTGTTTGGGGCTGGACACTCAGTCGTCACGTAATCTCAGGACTCCGGCCAGTCTTCTCTGGCCCAGGCTGAGAGCTCTGATCTATGAGTATAAACAGAAATACTTAGAAGGCAGTTAGACTACATGTCCAATTAGTAAAACATCAGTGGGAGACTCCTCCCCTAGGACCCGTAACTTTCCGAGCCATGGACTTCTGACTAGTTTTACTGTAGCAGGTATGGATTCCCTCCTGTGGCGCAGGGCTCAAATCCAGGGAGAAAGCAACGTGTTACCCACCCCAGACAGTCATGCCGCTAATGTGCCGGTGGGGGTATCCTCCCGGCAGGTTAGTAGTACAGCACCCAGTCCACAGCTCAGCCAGACAGTTGATGATGTTTCTCTCTAGCAGCCTGCATAGCAGTTTCCAGCACTAGGAAAGCTAGTCAGCAGAGAGAAAGCCTCCAGCTCGGTCTCAGCTCGGTTTCTCTGTGTCCTTCATCTGCAGTATGCAGTGTAGGCAGAAACAGTGTCTGATCTAGTTCTGGTGAGTAAGCAGAAGTAACGGCAATAGTCTGAGTTGTCTGGGGGAGCCTCTTGGACCTCCCTGGCCAACAACTCACTCTTCATGTTACCAGTCTGCACTACTCAAAGTAGTCGCGAGAATTCTCTCTCCAGAGGAGCCTTAGATTGGACCTACTGTTGCAACACCAGGAGAGGCAGTGGAGGAGGCCATCTCCTAACAGACTTGGAAGTGTGCATCTTCGGCTTTGAATACACATTAACAAAGATCTAAAAATGTTGTAGGAACCGGGGAAAGGGAGATGACCCTTTCAGTAACGTGCTTGCCTTGAAGGCACAAAGACCTGAGTTCAGATCCCCAGAACCCAGGAAGAAAAGCCAGGCACAGCTCTGCCTAACCAATCCCAGTGCTAGGGAGGCGGACACAGGAGGATCCCTGGAGTCCACCGGCCCGCTGATTAGCCAAATTGATGAGCTCAGGGTTCAGAGAGAACATATCTCAAAAAGTAAGTTGAAGAGCAGTTGAGGAAGACACCCGGTGTGACTCTCTGTGACTCTCTGGCCTCCACTCACATGTGTATCTGTACCCACACATACATACTCCCACATAAACACTCACAACACTGAACTAGCATCTACTTCTTTCAGCCAGTGAAAGGGCGTGTGTGGGTTCCCCTTACCACAGCACACACAGCTGTGCTGATACAGCCAGCGATGCGGTCAGCCCTTTGCATCCCTGGCCTCCACATCCACAGGCTCCACCAGATCACAGGCATTTGAAAAATAAGATGACACCTGCCCTGAGCACGTCCAACCTTGTCCTTGTCACTAGTGCCCGATCGACCCTGTCTACAAGTCACAAAGTGCTTGTCTTGAGTTCGGTATCATAAAACAGAGCCCATGGGAGGGCTCACGCAGGCTTAATGCAAATATTATGCTATTTTATGTAAGACACTGGAGCATGTGTGGATTTTAGTATCCAGGGGGATCCTGGAACCGTGAACGTCAAGTGATGGCTGTGAAGGGCTAACACAGTAACGTGGTAGGACGTAATTTGGCTCAATGGCTCTACCAAGGGAATTCCAACAACGTCAAAGGTCCGGGTGGCAGCCCATGCCTGCTTCCCTGGCACACATGTGAAGCTGCCTCCCCTTCATAGCTCTGTATTCGGCAGTGTTGAGCACAGCCTGAAAGACTCAAAAAAATAAAGATGTGTGTGTATGTACATGATGGAGCATGCATGTGTGTCTAGGCACACATATACACTGATTTTAGTAAAATATGCAAGTGTGTGTGTGCACACACACTCATGCGCACCTGCCTTCTAGAGATATAAAACCTGTACTCCGGAATGTTCACATAGGTTATCTTCGCGAGGTAGAACTGCAGAAGGCTTTGATTTTTCTCCCGGGTGCTTTCAGATGGCTTGGAATTTTCGGCAGAAACCAGTCATTGCTTTTGAAAACACACTACAGCCAAACAACAGATGCCAATTTTGTGCTTCCTTTTTTTCCCTTAAAATAAACTTGGTTGTGTATGTTCGAGGTTTGCAATGTGGTGTTAGAGAATGCACCTAGAGGATTTTTTTTTTAAGTAAACAAAAGTCATCCTGGTGTTCTCAGCACCAACAGCCTAACACCTGTTACTGTCCATCCCTCTGCCCCTGTCTTCACCCTACAAGGCTCTCAAGTTTGGAAACCACTGTGGGGAGTTGAAGCTCAAGCTTCAGAAGACCTGACTGCTGGGACTGGCCTGCAAATGATCGTTTGAAAGGACTCTGAGGACACCAGTTTCCTCCTCGTGAAGAAATTCCGAATGGCCTTAGGTCCTAGCTCACACGGCAGCTCCACCAGAATAGGGCATTGCATAGAGGACATTTTGGAAGTCCAGAACTGAATCTAGGTGGTTGGAAAGACTTCTCTGATTGACTTGTAATGTCTCCCATGGGAAGAAAATCAGCAGTTGACTATTAATGTCTGTCAAGGGAAAGGGACCAGAAATAAACTCATCACATACAGCATAGTTGCTGTGCCTGGACTAGCACTGATAACATCCATATATTATGCTTCCTCGTGCTTCTTCATTCATCTTGATTTTTCCAGATTCAATATTGTCCTTTCTAAATGTCCTTTTTAAATACTATACAAAAAAACCCTAATTTGATAGTCAAATTAAATTTGATAAATATTTACTTTAGGAAGTGAAAGATAAGTAGGGATTGGTCTGTACCCCTAAAGAACTGCAGTCTTAGGGGTATTGGAGAATCCAAAACTAGTTTTCACTGAAGATTTTCTTAAGTTTCAGAGGAGGCTTGACTTAGTGATGGCTATGGGGTTTATCTCCCACCAAGGGGACAGAGCTTTTTCCATTGCGTTGGAAAGAAAGGTAACCATTCTGAGGAGGGAGGGCATTGCTGAGTGTGTCAGGCTGGCTCAACCCGCTCTCGCATGTGGTCCACTTCTGCCTTGTCTTCTCCATTCACCTGCATAAGATCCCAGGGCTGTGAGGAGCCTGCTGGCTGTCCACTGTGCTGGTATCTGCAGCCTCGCTGTCCTGTCTGGTAATAGGCTGGAGTGGAAGGCAGATCAAGGGTTAGGAGAAGCAGAAGGCTCCTGTCAGTGCACAGCAACAGGTAATGAGTACTGGGTTAGACCCCCTGCCCTCCTCCCAGGAGTATGGGCTTTGACAACAGGATGCCTGCTGTCTTAGTTAGGGTTTCTATTGCTGTGATATATAACACAATTGTGGTAACTCTTATAAAGAAAACATTCAATTGGGGTGGCCTGCTTACAGTTCAGAGCTTTCGTTCATTATCATCATGGTAGGAAGCAAGACAGTGTGCAGGCAGACACGGTGCTGGAGAAGGAGCTGTGAGTTCTTACATCTTGACCCACAGGCAACAGGAAGAGGTCTGAGCGTCACATTGAGTGAAGCTTGAGCAAAGGAGACCCCCAAACCCACCCCCATAGTGATACACTCTCTCCAACAAGGCCAAACCTACTCCAACAAAGCCACACTTGATAGTGCCAATCCCTCTAAGCTTATGGGGGCAGTTACATTCAAACTGCCCCCCCTGCCCTCCAGGCAGGTGCTCTAAGAGGAGTCAAAGACCCAGAGCTCTTGCTGGGAGTTGACCTTGGGCCTGCTACCTGGGTGCCTTCCTGCTTTGGCAGTGTTTACAGTCCTGCATGTTTCCCTTGCCCGGGGACAGACTTACACTCAACAGAAGGCAGGCATTCCTGACATCTAAGGACATCTGAGATGATGAAACTTGGAGCCCTAGAAGGAAACAAGTCTAGATACTCTCATAGCGTCCCAAGTCCCTCCTGTTGGGGTCTTCAATCCTGGGCCTCTGTCCCCTCTAACCTCTAAGTGGTACCTAGGAAGTCAATATTTGCTTCTTGAAAAGACTGTTCATGTGAGGTCTCCCTCCAACCCTAGTTTCTTCTCTTACCATCAATATAATCAAGAGTAATTTGAAAAATTCCCCTGTCTCAGTTTGTTTGGCTACTAAATGAGGAGACACATCAAGAGAGCACGTGACAAATATGAGTGAGGACATTCACAGAAGGGCACTTGGTCACGGCTGGTGGAACGTCAGCTAGTCCAGTCACCAGGGGCGTCAATACAGGATTTCCTCAAAAACTAAAGCTAGGTCTGCCATATGACCCAGCTGTACATTCCTGGGTATTTAGCCAATGGAGTCCAACGGAACACATCAGAGAGATGCTTGCACATCAGTGATGACTGATGCACTAACCACAGCAGAGGAGTTACAGAACCAACCCAGGTGTCCAACAGCAGAAAAGATAGAGAGAACGTTGTACTTTTTTCAATCATAAAGTAGACTTTTTTCAATCATAAAGAAGATTGGATTATGTTCTTTCTTTTCAGAAAAATGTGTGGAATTGGAGATAATCAGAATGAGCAAAGTAAGCCAGTCTCAGATAATTTAAATCTTCTCTCATAAATGGTTCCTAGATTTATATACATCAAATCATGGTGGTAGTAGTTTGAATGCAATTGACTCCTGTAATCTCATAGGGAGTGGTACTATTAGGAGATGTGGCTTTGTTGGAGTGGGTGTGGCCTTGTTGAAGGAAGTGTGTCACTGTGGGGGCAGGCTTTGAGGTTTCCTATGCTTAGAATACCACCCAGTCAACTTCCTATGACCTGCAAGATATAGGACTCTCAGCTCTAGTACTACATCTGCCTGCACACCACCATGCTCCCCATCATGATGGTAATTGACTGAACCTCTGAACTGTAAGTGAACCACCCCAATTAAATGTTTTCTTTATAAGAGCTGCCGTGGTCATGGTGTCTCTTCACAGCAATAAAAAAAAATTAAGACAGTCATATACATGAATGTCATGAAGTTGCATGGTGTGTGTGTGTGTGTGTGTGTGTGTGTGTATGTGTGTGTGTGTGTGTGTGTTCATGCTCATAGCAGCACTATTCAAAACAGCCAGAATATGGAAACACCAGTGAACAGAGAGCAAACTGTGAAATGTATGTGCAAAGGACAATTACTCAGCCATAAAAACAAACAAAAACCAATGAAACGATTCATGGTATAACATGAACAAACCTAAGAAACATGCTAAGGGATAGCAGTCAGGCAAATCTGGTTACACGAATGGTCTCACATGTGCAGAATCAATCAGTGCACCATGGCACAAAGTGGACGTGTCTGCTAGAGGCTGAGGAAGGGAAGAACGGGAGTGTTGTGTTGGGATCTTCAGCTTCTCCTGGGCCCACATGCTAGAGGCCTGGGTGCTGTCCTGCAGTGCTGTGGGGAGATGTGGAACCTTTGGAAGGGGGTGTGCTGGGAGTTAGATCACTGGGGCTGGACAGCTGGAGGGACCCCGACCTGTTCTTTTTCTCTTGCTTCTGTGACACAACGATGCTATCACACCTCCTCTTCCATACGTTCCCCCATAATGCTATGCTGCCGTGAGTGGGAACAGGCCGAGGAACAGTTGCCCAGGAGTGCAGGGTCTTCCCAAAAGACTCACCGAGAATTGAACACCCAGGGATGAAAGAAGTGAAGACTCAGAACGGGTGAAAGCTGGTGTTTACTGAATCAGACAGCAAAGGCAGAGGGCACCCCAGAGGGTGGAGTCCCTAAAACTGGTAGACCCCCAAGTGGTCTCTAAACTGGTCCTTTCACAGGACCCTCAGGACATTCCTTCCCTTGATCCCCACTCCCCTTTTACTGTATTTCACCAGCCAGGACAGAAATAATCAAAAACATATGGCCTTGTTTGATGAATGGCTTTGATGGCTGGGTGACCTTGTTTGTTAGAGACATTCCAGCTGTGATGTTGGGGATGTCATCTCTCTCCCTCTGACACTTTCCTGGCTGCCCACTCCTTACCGCCACAGGTCCAAAGCACCGAGGACAAGTGAGCGTGGACTGAAGCTTCGGAAACTGTAAGCCAGGGCAAACCTTTCTTCCATATGCGTTTGACAGACTGTTTCACAACAGACAGCTGACTGACACGGGCAGGAACCGTTAAATGAGACAGATCTTTCTTTAGGGGGTGATTGGCAGAGGATACGTTAAGGGGGAAGAGACTTATCCCACTGTTTGAGGTGGGGTGTATACGCAGCTCGATACAGAGTCCTGGGATTCTAGATGCATTGTTAGGAGGCAAGTGAGTAGTGTGTAGCCTGAGTCAAGTCGACTCCCCGGGTTGCTAAGATACCTCTAAGCTTGCCTGCCTCAAGGACACTAGGAGGAGGAAAGATATCCCATCCCTCCAACGGGACTGGGTCTGGAATGTGACAGTGGGAGGCAGATACGTTCTAGAATGTTCAGATCACAATGAAGCAGAGGCCAGGAAGCTATGGTCCGGGCACGGGTTCTGCACAGACACAATGCAGAACCTTGGCAAATCGTGAGACATGCCAGGCATCCCTGCCTTCCTCTTGATAATGGGAGAGGAGTGTGAACTAGACCTCAGAGGTTCCATCTAGTTCAGACAGTCTAGGAAGGGCCAAGGTTAAAATGTTAAGTCACGACGGCTGACTTCTAGGATGAAGGACACCCTCCATTAGGGGGATGACAATCAGGGGAATTTGGAGAAAAGATAATCTTCTAAGTGACCCTTAAGGAAACAAGGGGGGGCTCAGGACAGAATTGAGCCTGGGGACTTGGACCGCTCTGGCTCCAGTTTTCCTTTTTATCTGGAGGCTACCACTTAGTTGGTGAGGCAGGACATGGCGGTGGAACAGCTTCCTCGTCCCGGTTTCACAGAGCTGCTGCTGATGGTGTTACCATGGTGATGGCAGGCCAGTTTGATGTGTGCCTTTGTGCTGGGACTCCCTCCCTCTTTGTCCTTATCCCAGCTATAGGTGTTTCCTCCGGAGCGAGCGCTAAGAAAGGGCCGCGTAGGGGATATCTGTGCCTCTTTGACTCACCTCGAGAATGAATCATCTTCTCCCCTGCCAACCTTTCTATCCTGTGAGAGATTCAGTCCCCTGATTATAAGTTCTGAGGCACTTCGTTCCTGGTTCTTGGGGGACGTAGAGACCCAAACCTTTGAAATATAAGACATGCTAAATGAGACCAGAACAAAGTTGGGTCTGTCCCTTTATTCTGTTTCCGACAGTCCTAGGGAAAGATGCTTTCTGGGACGAACACAGTGGCTGCCTCTGCTGAAGTCGATTTCTAAAGGTTAGGGATGTGAGCCTTTTGGACTCACCCTGTAATGACTCATTCTGGCTGTATCCTTCATGTGAACGCCTTGAAGCCTTTCCGGAACCCATTTATCCTCTCAGACTTCATTGAATCCCAAAGGGTAGAGGCAACCCCGAAGATGTGCGGTTGAGTTCTGCCCCGACCCATCCGCCACGGACTCCAATGGGGAAGAAATGCTCTCCAAGGAAGCTCCTTCAGTGGGGCTCTTGCCTTGGCTCTGCTACGGGAATCTATGACCCTGGAGAAGTCATCCAATTTCTCTGAGTGTAGGGTTCCTAGCCTAGCAGGCAGACACAGGGGTATCTGTCCAGCCCCAGCTCATGGGACAATAGGTTCTGAAGGCTGGGACTGCACCCCATTCATCATTGCACCTCTGGGGCCTGACATGATCCCCTGCACATCACAACAAGTCACAAAACGGCTGTCAAAAGGAAGAGAGAAAGAGACATCGGGGGCCACCAAGCCTGATGACCTAAGCTGGGCACCCAGACCCAAATACGTGGGAAGGAGAGAACCAATTCCTGCAGGCTGTCCCATGATCTCTGTGTGTGACGCCACGGCACATGCACACACACTGAATAGATGTTTAAAAATGGGTTCTCAAGGAGAAAACATTAGTGGTTCTATTCCCTACCAGCTGGAAATCTTGACAAGTGACAGACACCGACGCCACCGAGCAAACAGGGACTCGGCAGCTCCCATCACTGGGAAGGTCTTCAGTGTAGCTGTTTTCAGTGTGACTGAATTCCAA